CATTCATTCCTCTTCTGAAACAACCACTGGCCTGTGGGGCTAGGTGCCAGGAGGCCAGCTCCAAGGTCACTGTGGGGCCTGGGACAAAGGGGTTTTCCTCTCCCTCTGGGCCTAAGTTTCCCCATTAGAGATCAGTGGTGCTGTCTTATCTTCTTGCATCTCTTGGGCCCTTTCTGTTACAGGGAGGAGGCAGGGGTGGGGGACAGAAGTGCTCACAGTTGATGAACCAGACAGAGACCATGGTGATGGAGAAGAAGGGCCCAGGGCTCATGTCCACCTTCACCAACGCTGCTGTCAGGGCGAAGAGCAGCAGGATGCCCAGCAGGCTGCCCAGAATGCGCACCACCTCAGGGATGCTACTCGGAAAGGGATAGAGAGCATCAGGTGGGCCCCGGCTAGGCAGTGGGTGGTGGGCAAGAGGTGCTGCCAGGGGCAGGACAGTGGGGCTGGGAGGGCCAGGCAGGTGGAGCAGGGGAAGGATGGGAGGTCTTCCTGGGCCCAGATGATAGGTACTGCCTTGGCAGGGGACGGGGTCTCACCACTGATACAGGAAGGAGTTGAGGAGTGTGAAGAGCAGCAGAGGCAGCTGGGACAGCAGCGTCACCCAGTTGTTGAAGTTGAAGGTGTCTGTGGGGCCTGTGTGGTTGGTGCTCAGGGTCCCAGCTGTGCTGTTGGCCTCTGCCAGCCGCCCCTGAAAGTACTGCCAGATGGGGAGGAGGAGTAAGGTTAGGCATCCCTAGTCTGTCCCTTTGCCTCCTCCCAGGTGTGTGATTGCTTGGCTAATGCTTTGGGGACTACTTGCCTTATCCCTGCATTGTCCCCAGCACCTGGAACACAGTGGAAACTCTATGGTTATGCACTTAATTGAATGGCTGGCATATGGAACAGGGCCCAAGCACTAAGAACCCCCAGCTCAAGCCTCCACGCATCTCTGGATCACCCTGATCTTTAGTCCCTAGTCCCCCCACAGCAGTCTCTAGATTCATTCATTCCGTGGGTATTTACTGAGTATCTACAGAAGTCAGGCTCTGGCTTAGGTGCTGACCCATTGCTTTCTCCCTGGAACATATACCCTGTCACTTCTCTGCTTAAGCACCATTTACCTTCTACCCACACCTTCCTATTATGTACAGGGTAAACCCCAAGAGTTTGGAACAATATTTAGGAACCCTGCAATATCAGATCCCACCCTCCCTTTTGTGTCCCATCTCTCACTCCATCCCACTAAGCACCAGCACCCCAGGTTCTGGATCTTTCTCTGAATAGGCCCTTGTCTCTGTAAGAAATGCCCTCTTTCCTCCTGACCACTCCTCCATCCCCCAACTTTGCCTACCCCACACTCAGCTTGTAAATCCTCTGTGTTCTCCCTCCCCTGAGAACCACAGCACTCTGATCCAAGCCTGGGAAGGCCCGTGTCACCTTACATTATTAATGGCTCTGACCCATCTTATTCTTAAGACCAGAGACGGATTCATCTTTGGGCCTCTGGGGTCCAGAACAGAGCACATCTGCAAAGTTACTGCACTGAATATAATAACCCAGTCCTAAAAAGAATGCAAAGTCCACACTTCTGCCTTCCTTTCAGAGAACCAACACTGAGGACAGACTCTCCCTCTGGGATGGTTTCTCTTTACTCCTAGTGGCTGGTCCACGTAGGAGCACATTAAATGTTTGCCTAATGTATTTAATTCTATTGTAAAGAAAATCAGAGGCTTGGATTACCCACTTTTGGAGTGACCGGACCAGAAATAACGACAGAGAAGGTGGGTGTGCAGCTCTTTTGCTGGTCCTAGACCCCCCCGAGCTGGTGGGCATTCCCCAAAGTTTGGCCTTCTCAGCCATGAGAGAGTATTTCCGTTCTCTGAGGCGCCATGCTTCGGCGAGCGAATGGGCATAGTGAGGAGTTTAAGGCAGCAAGGGGAAAAAGCGCCTGGTGAGCCTCAGTCCGGGGCGGCTGGAGGGATGGAGGGTGTTGTGGCCACCGGGCTGTCTCACCGGGATGGCGGTGATGAAGAAGTTCCAGGGAAGGAGGGTGCCCAGCCCCAGGATGAAGAAGCTGATCCCGACCAGGTGGTAGCTGTGGGGATCAGTGAGAAGGTCACCCCAAGGCCTCCTGCCGGGCCGCCCCTCCCGCTCCCAGGCCGTCCTCCGGAGAGCGTACTACAACCCCCATCACCCCCGCGCAGCAGCCGAGGGAGTCGGCTGATGGGAATTGTAGTCCAATACATCTACGAACCCCGGCGTGTCTAGGGGAGCGGGATTGTTCTGCCGACCGCCACCCGGGCCCCAGGACACATGGCACCGGGTTCCCATCTCACCTGTCCTGCGGAGCGTCTCCTCGCGCCATGGCCTTGGCAACGGAATGCACCGGGATGGGAGCGCAGAGGGGAGGCTGCACCCGCTCCTACGCGGGGCCGGGGGCCGGAGGCCGCGGGGACTGGGGGCCGTTGTCCCCGAACCCGAGTGCGGGCTGCTGGAGGTGGGGTGGGAGCTCCAGGAGGATTTCCGCGGGTCTCAGTCTCCACAGGCTCGGGCCTTAGCTCCGCCTCCGGGGCGGGGACAGAGGGTCGCACCACCTTCCTCCGCACCCCAAACCTTGGGCTCTTTGGGGGCGTTGTGCCGAGTCCTACCTTAGGGTCTCCCTACCGGCCAGCCCACACCACCAGTGTGGCTTGGGGCAGCTGACCCGATGGGTGTCGCCGCCGCACCTCTCCGCAGCCCGCTGCCTTGCCCGCGGGCGTCGGTCCTGGATCCCTGCGTCGAGGGAGGGAAGGGGAGCGTCCCTCCCACTCCCCCGCGGAGAGCTCCGCGGTCCCCCTGGCCCGGACTTTTCTTCCCTTCGCCGGCTGCTAGGTGCTGCCGAAGCCGCGTTCGCGCCCCCTAACGTTGGGGTGCACCCAGGGCGCCTCTGCGGAGCCCCGTCCCAGGGCATAACTCGAGCAGGGCCAGAGCGCGGGAAAGCAGGAGCCATCGCTTGTCGCTTGTGGTCCTGGCAGGCTGCGCGGAGTTGGGTCCCCCCGGAGGCCGAGGAGCGGGCTGGATGCCCATGCTGGCGGAACCCCCAGGCGGATCGGGAAGACAGGCAGACACACTAGCCTTCTCCAGCAGGTGCCTAGGGAAGCGCCCGGCCTTTGGGCCGAACAGCCGAGGTGCTGGCCCTGTTGGGGCGCCGGGGCGGGCTTCCAGGCCGAGGTGAGCTGAGCTGCGTTGGGAGCCGTGAGTGGTTGAGCAGAGGCTGGGAGAGAAGGGTGCCCCGGAAGTGCGCTCCCTCCCCGCGCGCTGCGTGCTTAAATACGTAGCCCTCAGCGGTCTACATCACATCTCATCAAAATGAAGATGCAGCCACATCCCGCTCTTGTTTTCGTGGGAAAACTTTGAAAAGATTCCAAACCATTGCAGTTTCGAAATTGGTTTGCTTGGTCTGTCTCATAATTTATGAATGGGTGTGGTTTCTCTGGCATGCTGGAGAAGCTAGAGGCTCTAAAGCACAAATTGTTTTCATGAGTAACGACATTTTGTAACCATCTCCAGATTACTTGTATTTTTCCTCCAGCCACCTGTGGATCTGTGGGGCAACCAAGGTGTTTGTCTGGTTCACGGCTTTATTACTACCATCTTCCCCCGCCCCCTGCGGCGTGGGATAAATGCTTGGTGACAAATAGATTGGATTGCAGTGTTCTGCAGGGGAGTTTAGGGAGACCGGGGACAGCATTGGATTACACTAAGAGAAAGTTACTCTCTTCAGTTTTCTTCCAAGCTTCCGAATATATCAAAGGGGAAAGTCTCAGTTCACGTTTTTTAGCATCCTCTAAATCCTCCCATCTTACAGGACCTGTCTTACCAATTCTATCTAAATACAAGTTAATAACTTTCTTTTTCCTTATACTTATTCTTCTACTTATTTTAGGGCTGCAGTACTGATTTCCTATTTATGACAGTGATATAAAGTTTTCTTTGAAAAAAATCAGTATATTTATGAAAAATGAATCCTTTAAAGAAAATAAGCGTGACTGCAGATGAGGACAGCTCTGCCCGAGTCTCCAAGGCAGGACGGGAAGAATGGAGTTTTGGGCAGCAATGCATCTGTGAAGGGAGAGAACAGTCTGTACCAAGACTGGGCATAGGAGACGGCTGATGCATGCTGGGATATACGATAATGCCTTTGGATCAGTGCCTTTGGCTGGCGCGTGAGGAGGGAACAGAGCCTGTCCAAAACAGGCTGAAGGCTGAGCGTGGAACTGGGATTCCAGCTCACAGGCTTAGTCACACTTGTCAAAAGCAATATTTTGTAACTATCCTGCAGTGAATTTGTGAACAGCAAAACCCACCCATGAAAGATGTTCACGTCAATATAATATCCCAAGTGTACAACAGAAGATATATTTTAAAAAGCCTTTAGGAATAAAATAATATGTATGTGAATATGTTAACACTCGAGACACATGAAGCTGTCAAAACCCGTGCCACACAGGCATGTGCTGAAACCAGTAAAGATCATTAGCTTGCTGATGGTGATGTGATATTCTGCAACACTGACCAAGTCTTGGCAAAGTTCCAAGCAAAACAAAGAGCAGCTGTCCCTCTACAGAGATAGTAAGTAGCAGAGTTACTGGAAAATGCTGTGTATATTTAACCTTATAAATAATACATTGTGTCCATATGTCAACTGGACTTACAGTCCAGGCTCAGAAAATGATCAACATGTTTTTTTTTTTTTTAAAAAAGAATATATTTTATTTTTAGTGAAGTTTTAGATTTACAGAATACATGAGCAGATACTACAGATTTCCATATATGCACCCCAGCCTGCTTTCCTCTATAATTAATGTCTTGTGTTAATGGAATACTTTTGTTACAATTAATGAACCCATATCCATACAGTATTATTCACTAAAGTCTTCTTTCTTTGGGTTGCACATTCTATGGGTTTTGAGAAATGCATAGTGTCTTGGATCCACCATGAGAGGGTCCTACAGAATAATTTAACCTTCCTAAAACCCCTTCCTGCCATCCACTGAGTACCTGGCAACCACTGCTCTTTTTATGTCTCTAAGTTTGGCCTTTCAAAATGTCATATAGTCGGAATCATATAGTATGTAGCCTTTCCAGACTGGCTTCTTTCACTTAAGGCTTCTCTGTCTTTTCTGGCTCAATATTTCGTTTCTCTGTATTACTAAATAATATTCCATTCTGTGGTTTACTACAGTTTGTTTATCCACTCTCCTATTTCAGGACATCTTGGTTGCTTCCACTTCTTGGTCATCAAAAATAAAACTGCTGTTCACATTTGTGTATAGGTGTGTGTGTGTGTGTGTGTGTGTGTGTGTGTGTGTGAACAGAAGTTTCCAACTCAATTGGGCAAATACCCAAGGGCACTGGGACTAGATCATATAGTAAGATGGTTTAGTTTTGTAAGAAACTGTCAAACTCTTCCAAAGTGGTTGTACCACTTTGTGTCCCCCCTAGCAATGAGACAGTTCTTGTCCCATATCCTCACAGGCATTTAATGTTGTCTATGTTTTAGGTTTTAGCCATTTTAATAGGTACGTAATATTATCTTGTTTTATTGTAAGAGCAATTTTCATTTTTATATTGGGGATTGAAACCAGGGGTGCTTTACCACTGAGCCACATCCTCAACCTTTTTTTTACATTTTATTTAGAGACAAGGTCTCACCGAGTTACTTAGGGTCTTCCTAATTTGCTGAGGCTAGCCTTGAACTCATGATCCTCCTGTCTCATTCTCCCAAGCCACTGGGATTACAGGCATGCGCCACTGTACCTGGCTTATGTACATTTTTTATTAGTGCATTTTAATGGGTTTCATCATAGAATATTAGTACATGGGGATATCATACCATTTCGATTACCTTCCTTTACTCTCCCCTTCTCCTACCTTGATCCCTTTACTCTTTAATAGTCTCTGTTACTTTCATGTCGTCTTTTCCCCATAGATTTCACATGGGGGGGGGGACATGTGATAGTGGTCTGAGTCTGACTTCATTTGCTTAACATTATGATTTCCAGTTTCATCTATTTTACTATAAATGATTTTCTTCTTTTTTTAAATATTTTTTTTTAGTTGTAGTTGGACACAATATCTTTATTTTATTTATTTTTATATGGTGCTGATGATGGAACCCAGTGTCTTACATGTGCTAGCTGAGCACTCTACCCCTGAGCTACAACCCCGGCCCCATGATTTTCTTCTTAATGCTGAATAATATTCCATTGTGTATATATACCACATTTTCTCTATCCATTCATCTGTTGAGGAACTTTTACATCATACAACTGTATTCATGTATTTAACATCATGCAGGAGCCCAGAAATAGGTACAATTTTTATGTACCAGTTTTTACAAAACGAACAACCCTATTTAAAAATGGGCAAAAGGGAGCCAGATGTGATGGGAGATACCTATTTGGGAGAATGAGGCAGGAGGATCACTTGACCCCAGGAGTTCAAGGCCAGCCTGGGAAATATAGCCAGACCCCCATTTCTTTAAAAAAAATAAATAAAAATGGACCAAAGACCCAAGGGACATTTCATCAAAGAATATCCACAGAGGGCAGTAAGAATGCAAAAAAAGGCTTATCATCCTATGTCATTAGGAAATTGCAAGTTAAAACAAGATCTTTGAGAATACAAAAAACAATAAACACTAGCAAGGATGTGGCGGGGAAGGAGCCCTCCTCCACTGCGGGTGAGAATGTGAATTAGCACAGACACTGTAGAGAGGCGCCTAATGTGCACTGTGCTGAGATAAACCTGGAGATGCAGGCATTGCCACAGTGTGCTGACTTTAACTCCTTCTGGTGTCGCCCAGGAGGGCTATGTCTGCATCCCATGGTGGTTCCACTTTAGTTCCTTGAGGAAACTCCATGCTGTTTTCCACCGCGTCTGTGCTCTGGCAGCCAGAAAGCAAGGGAGAAGAGGAGTGAGCTGGGACCCAAGATCCCCTTCCAGGGACACCCCCAGTTACCTAGCTTCCTTCCACTAGGTCCCACCTCCTAAAGATCCACCACCTTCCAAAAGCTCCATGGGCTGGGGACCAGGCCTTTAGCATGTGAGCCTTTCAAGGACGTTCAGAATCCAAACTGTAACACCAGATGATTTTTTGTTTGCTTGTTAATTCAAACTTCATGGAAGTACAACTTGCTTTGTAAAAAATTGACTATTTTTTGAGATTCATTCATAATGATAGATGTTACTATTCATTCATTCACAGTTTAAAAATGTATAGTAGTCCACATTTCATGACTCTTGTTGGATGCGTGTTGCAGGCATGTAGCTCGTTTTCAGTTGTATTCTACTATAAGCAATGCTGCTCTGAATGACATGGTGCCCTTGACATACCTACCCTGCACCTGTACAGAATTGTCTATGTACAGGGTCTCTCAACAGCAGCACTATAGACTTTTGGGCTGGGTAATTCTTTGTTGTGAGGATTGTACTGTGAAATGTAGAGTACCCCGGACCATGCAGACTAGATGCCAGTGTCATCTGCATCCAATTATGGCAATCAACAATATCTCCATACATTACTAAGTATCCTTTGAGGACAA